AATTAATCAGGCTGAACCCCCATTTCACAAGAGAATGCATTAAAATAAATAAAATCTGGCGGCTCTAGACACTAAAAAGGCATAACTCAGGAAGCTTTCTCGATAAACAAAAGTATTAAGCACATGAAAAGTTGAGGATAAACAAAATACCAAGAGAAGAAAAGAGAAAATGAACCTGAATGTATTCTAGTCAAAATACGAGGCACGGCACAGAAAATAGTTGGTTTGAGCTCAACCATGTCTTCAATTAAAAATTTGACATCCTGCAATATGAAAACTTATAAGCTACCTTATTGATGTTCTTGCTTAAAGAGACTAAATGGCCTTATCACCAATTGCACTATGGTAGCAGACTCTACTAGCAAAACAATGGTGCCATACAGTGCAACAAAAATATACCCTTGAGAAGTATGTGTGTTTTTTGGGGATGTGGGGGAATGAATAGCGATGCTACTTACCCCTTGCCAGAATCCTATTGAAGCACCATGTGAAATAAATAACTCCTCAAACAACCGATCAAAGATATGAGCAAGAGGAAGGTAGGAAAAGTATACATCCTTTGTAGAGAACTGCAAAGTTTCCACAGAGAAAATGTCAAGAGAGAAGATACGAGTAATATACTAGATGGAAAAAGATCAACAAACTGAATGGCTAATTTATGCACTATATCTGAATAGCAACTTAAGCTGTATATGGCAGCTTCGCCTTTATTATTTTTCACTCTGAATATCATATACTATGATATTCAGAGTGAAAAAAGAAGCAAATACCTGTTCATTCACACTCTCAAATGCCCTTGCCACTCCAGCTATAACAGTAACAATACTCTCATTTGAAATCATCACCCCTTTTGGATTATCAGTTGTCCCACTGGTGTACATTATCGTACAGATATCACTTTTCTTTTTATCCGGGAGAGCACATTGTTTATTCTCCCCCTATGAGAAACAGAGATAAGGCCAATAAACAAAACAAAATATGAAAAAAAAATGAGGAAAAAAAAATGGAAGAACAGAATCTTCCACACTTCAAGAATTTTAATGAACAACAGAGAAATTATTAGGATCAAACCAATTCCAAACCAAAGCAATGCTTCAACAGATAAAAAGCATAATTGACTTATCAGAAATTGAGGGTATAAAACCTAGCATGGATAAAATTAATAAGAACTGGCTACTTCAATTTGAGACACAGGGCACCAACTCCGCCCACTACAACTGGCTACTTCGGACAACAAATAAGAAAGTTCGAGAAAAGATCTTCCACAAAATAATGATTATCACAAGATAACTCTGTTGCATGCATGGGCAAGCATTTTCTGGCCGTTTAGCGCAAAATTTTTACCTGTTTCAAAAAGTGCTCCCAAGAATATACTACTAAGCCAAATTTCTCAATCTCTTCTCTTTCTTCAGGTGCAACCTTGCCAAAGCTCACAATCGCTACAAAACGAAATATACATATAACATCATATCTAGGTGACGTGTATGAAAGGAAAGAAATCCTTAAAGAAGATCAACCCACTTTTCATGTACTGAGTTGACCTCGGAAATGTTTTCAACAACTGATAAAAAAGAAAAAAAACGTAAAGATCAGCAAGGACTTAATGCATATTAAAAATTATTAAAGAAACTTATCCAGTATTGTGAATCACAACTCCAACTGAAATATACCTCGCGGATTTTTTTCTCTTCCACAAAAACAATTGAGACTTCTGCATGGCAAATTATATATTCCACAGCACCAGCACCTAAAACGTAGATTAAAGGAGGTAAATAATAAATTTTGCTCAACGCCTGGAGAGAATTGAGGTCAAGATGTATGCATAAGTAGAACACAGAAAAAATCTAAACATATAGTATCAGGACATGCATGAATGTTGGTTAGTTGTAATCCTTTATATGCTTCTATATCCATGCTTAAGAAATGTCCATACCTAATGAGTCATATAAGGGGACACAGCAAAGCCCATGAGCGTTGCAGGCCTGCATAATTTACAGCATTTTGAAAAATAAAATTCAAAGGATACAAATTTAGAAACAAGAAAATGCAATATTGGCAAACAACTGACAAGGATGTCCACTAGATTAGTCATGCAAAAGTATAAGATGATTTAAATAACTTGTAATCTACTTTTATATAAGTCGGCAAAGCCAACATAGATATGTTATTCCTTTACACTGCGATCAAGAAGTCTTTTGACCCACACTAATTCTGAAATGAAAAGTTTCTGGAAAAAACACACACAGTCCTAAACCCATAAAAAAATATTAGGGAATAAAATAAGATGTATAAATTTGAATGGCATAACACATTTGGAAAAGCAAGGTACCTCCATGCTAATTATCCACTCTGGGCAATTGGCACCATAAATACCACATTTCCCTCCCTGAAGATCAGCAGTATGAAATTTCAGAGCTGGTTGCAAAGTTGAAATTTTTTTTAACAAATCAGTGTTTGCTTTTACCTGTTCAACACTGCAACTCCTAATTGAATTACCAACTTTAATCGCCAAGTCGTATACTTCTTTGTAAGTTTGCCACACGTATTCACCAGGCTGCTAACACAAAGCAACAGATAAATAACATAGTAGTTAGATTTCATTAGAATTAAAAGGGATGATCTACACAAACTTATAAAACTTACAATTATTCTGACTTAAAAGTATATGATATTTAAAATTGAAACAAAAATCTCGAGTAAAGGACAAGATACCTTTCCATTCTCAATCACTCGGCGACCAAGCATGGGATTGTCAGGATATTTCTCCACGCTTATGCTGCCACAAGAACAGTAAACATTAATCACAGGCTGGATAATTAAGAATAAAAAGCATCATCATCAAATAAAAAGGAGCTGACTTTCGGTGAGTAGACAGATTAACTTGTTTGTGTGAATTAATAAGCACATTAATGAAATTTTCTCAGTAATCAAACAAGAAGCTATAGAACTGACCGGAAAATATCCCAGCAACAATCCATTCCAGGAATTGGAGGAGGAAATCCATCTTTAGCAAACACACTACGATATACAGGGCCAACAGATGGTCTTCCATCCCTGGCCTCCTTTGCTTGCTCCACCTCTATCAGATACTTCCTTTCCGCCATTCTATCTCTCTCTTCCGATCAACCACACCTCTACGTACTGAAAGATACAAAGCTGAGAGAAAAAAAAGTACAAATAGAATGTGTCGTGGATCGTGATGGAGAAAGGTAGAGATAGTAGAAATATAGATTAGGTGGCTGTGGTGTGGGTGGCCGGAGAGGAAAACAGGGGACCACTTGAACTCAAAAAATCTCCACTATAATTCCTAATATAGCCATCAAAACGCTTCTGGACAACTTCACAAGCAACCTCATTGGGAATAACATGCCATAACTTGTACCGGCAATAAATTCGCTGTCACTTCGCACAATTGACGCTAAATTTTGTCAATTTTATTTTTTTTAAACAAAGAGGGAGAGGGAAGAGCGAAACTCCAAGCAGAGTACAAACAAAAATGCTAATAAAACACTCCACCAACATACCAACATGATTAGCTAAAACATTGGCACAAAAATTGGCCTCACCATTCATGTGCTCAATTTTAAATCCCAATTCAAAAGTCCACAGATATTATGATATCAATTCTGCATCACCTGCTTCCAGTAACCTAATCCTTTGATAATGTCAACTTCCCTTTCTCCGCCTCCTTCGCCACCAGCTGGTGCATCCTTTCCCCACAAGCATTCGCCACCTTTGCTCCTCCGTGTCCATCATAAACAGCAAAAAGAATTGTAACTATCAAACTCACCATTACTCGAACAGTTAGCCACCTGTAGCTGGAAATGCCGGAAATTGGGTCGATCAGTGAGGTGGATTTCCAAGGAATAACCCAGACGACGTACATTGAAGGTGTGCCCACGTGGCTTAAGGATGACGCCGCGAGTATAATTGATTATTTTTTTGGCGGGAGTTGTCTATTTGGAATAAGAAATAGGTGGCATGACGTGGGACCTAATGGTAATCAGAGCTAAACCGTAGCAAATAAATGAAAATATATACTTTTTTTAAATGGAAGTATTTTTTACTTTATGTGGAGAAAAAAAAAGTAAAATATAAATTATTTTTAAAAATATTTATTTTCGTTAGTTTGATCCATGAATACAGTCATTAATTTCGTCTAGACATACATTTTTTTTGTGTATCAGTGATTTAATATAGCAAGTCAATTTATTAAAAAAAATTATTTATTTTTTTAAATATAAAAAATATCTTATTACAATAACATTTGTTTTTAATTAATTAACTTAATGTACGAGACACGAGTTAAATGTGGATAGAGGGAATATAAACTAGAACCTTAGTATTTATGGGATAACTTTTGAAAGAAGTTGCATTATTCTAGAAGTGTGCATTAGGAAGCTAACGGTAGCCTTTACGAGAATAGTAAGTAACCTTGTAAAAGATTCAAAACGAGGATCACCGGGTATGCTAACGGAGCAAATCAGATGTGGAGGTCAATAAGATTGATTATAGAAGCAGCAGACAGACTGGGTCAAATTTTACAGATGGAAAACAGCGAGCGGATTGGTGCCATGTGCATGGAAGTATCATTTGATGGCAGAGAAAGGGTTGAAAATTAATTGTTTTAATAGCTAATATTAGTTATATTACCAAAACCATTTCATCAAACATGCACCCCCAAAGCTCTAAACACTATTATAAATGCTATATTACTGAACTCGTTTAAAGAAAAACAAGTTATTGCTCAAGAAGGCCTAAATCCGGTTTCAATGGACCCAATTTGAACAGTCCTAACTGTAACTAATAATAGTACAAAGGGTGGAGGCATGCATGGAGCTCTTATTTGCACTCAGGAACATGAGCCGTCAAAAATATTCCTGCATCTTATCCTCTAAACCCATACGTAAAAGATAGGATTTTGAATGTTCTCGAGTACCACAAGACATGGCCTCCCTTGTCCCAAAATGGGTCCATGGCAGTGCCACATTCCAATTTCAATATCTGGTAACATTGATTTTATTTAAAAGAAAGTACTGAAGAACAATTTAAAATTTTGTATCAACTCCATTTACAGGAAATGGTTTCTGTCACTTTGCTATGGCTCTTTAAAAAAGCTACTCTTTGGTCCACAAATTGAAACGTCTATATGATTAAAACTATGTACAATAAATAACTAGGGGAAGAAGAAAGAGAGACGAAAAAAATGCAACAGGCATTTTTGAGCAAGAACATTGAGATCCTCCTTTCAGGCAATCGGCTTGCTTGCGCTTTTGTACATGTTGTCGATAATATTCTGTGCACAGAATTTTTGAGTCAGTATGATAACTGAATGTGCTATTGCATATAGACCGACAAAAGACAGTTCAGAAATATGTATATGAGAAAAAAAAAGTGAAACCTTTTTAAGAAAATACTAAATATGTCAAACTAAAACCTGCATGATTTAGATGCTTGTGGAGGCAACATGCAGAGAAGACCATAAATGTCCATGCCTCAGTGTATAACGTGAAGATGCTTGGTAAACCATTATCCATTTCATATGCAGTTTTAACAGACTCAAGAAGCATTGAAAAGGCTAATTTAAGATGCCCTACCTGATAATATTTGAGCAACTGGGGCCTCTTTTTCTTATATGTTGGAGTGAGGAGGTCGCGTTCTATGTCAAATGGTTCAGGATCAAGGTGAACAGCTTTTACAATTTCAAAACCTTTCAGCTGAAAAAATTTAAGGATTAGGATCACAAAACGTTAAATTTAATTTCTTTTAAGGGCCAAACTTTTCTGTGGCCATTGATAAATAAAGTGCCAAGTACTAAAACAAGCAGAAACCTTATTTTCTTTGGCAGTTTTTGTAAGCTCTCCAAGAATGAATTCTTTTGCCTTTGGATTTTTGCAAAGGGAGTTGAAGTCCCCACCGATGCCATTCTCTTTTGCCCAACTTTCAAGAGCTTGCTGATTGGGGTTAACAACAGCAACCAGGAATGATTCGAAGCTGTTCCCATAAACCCATATCTAAATTGACAAATAGGATGATAATATCAGATTAGGAATGATATGCATCTCAAGCAAGAAATAAATACATTTGTTTCTGCATGTATATACTAAGAACCACAAATGAGAAAACACAAAGATTTATTCAAGTCAAACAAACAAATGAAGATAAAACACAACTTCAAAATTAACAATGATCATATCTTTCATAAATATAACCAGCATCAGAAACAATATCAAGCTTAGTGTATAGGTTCAGACAAGCATAATAAACCAATCATATATATGTCCAGCTAGGAATAAATATTCAAAGCATCAGAAAGGCATACCCCATCAACAGAAGAAGCAAGACCAAAAATATTCTCCAAGTTTTCAACAGCGACATATTCTCCTTGTGAAAGTTTAAATATGTTCTTCTTGCGGTCAATAATTTTCAAGCTCCCATCTGGTTGCCACTCACCAATATCTCCTGAAACAAAGATCATTAAAAACACTATAAGCTAAGAAGAAAATTACTTGAGAATAAAAGTTCACAAACTACTGCTCTAACGCAAACCTGTGTGGAACCATCCATCAATCAGGACCTCCTTCGTGAGGTCTTCTCGCTTGTAGTAACCCGAGAAGACAGTACTTCCCCTCACACAAACCTCTCCACGTGGTGTGCTTGCAAGAGCATCATAATTCATTTCAGGAACAGATTCTAAGCATACATCCACATTTGGTACAGGAGGCCCTACTGTACCGAGCATTGCCATTTCATTTGGTAGTGAGACAAAAGTGCCTGCACAAGTTTCTGTAAGACCTGCAGTTATAGAATTGAAATTATATTAGTCGTGATGGCAGTAAGTTATGATCACAAATAGCAAATGGTGAAAAGTAAAAAGAAGTTAAAATTGGACAAATAAGAACCAGGCAACAGATAATATTTATAAGCATACCATATCCTTGCAAAACATGAGCACATGAGACCACCCGCAGGAAAGCTTCAACATGTATTGCAAGAGGTGCAGCTCCAGACAGAATAAGCCTTACTCTTCCTCCCAAGCCTTGTTTTACCTGTGGATGAGAAATCCATGAGATTTGAAGTAACAAGCAGGATCTATGGCAATAACTACTCTGTGATTTGGATTTGGGGACAGGTGAGAAAGAGAAAGGAAGAACAATCACCTTATCAAAGACAACTTTGTCACAAATTGGAGATGCCTCGTCATGTGTACGCCCCTTCTTCATACAATTTAATTTACTGTAGTAGTTATTGAGAAAACAATTAGAATCAGATCACCAAATAGCAAGAAGATAAACTGAAAATGGAACTTAGGCGAGGCCCTTTATGCAAACTGGAAGTATTGCCAATAAAATTTCTAAGCAGCAAGGAAACACAAATGAGAAAATGAGCCAGCCTAGAAAGATCAACTAAAGCAATTCACAAAAATTGAATTTCTTTAACATGTTAAAGGTATGAGGTGAATCTCGTCTGCACTCTGAAGTCCCGTTATATTCAAGGAAACAAATAGAGTAGAACCTCAACCATATTGCATGAGGAAAAAAAAAAGAGAGAGAAACTACCGGCACATATAATATATTTTCATTTGACTAGTAATTTTTTATCCTTCGAGAAGAAAGAAAAATGCGGTGGTGGAACTTAACTCATCATCCTCCTCACTATTCTGTTGGGGAAGGTGAGTTGAAGGGCAGTGGAGTTTCTAAGAAACATATTAAGGAAGAGAACTTACTATGAGTATGCTATATTGAACAATTTCTGTTTTAAGAAGCTCCCTGAAGATATCTTCTGTGTCAAACCTAAAAATGTGCATAGCAATTGTCAGTGAGATAACCATGTTTTCATCTTCGATAAAATAATTTCATCACAAAAGTAAAACACTGAAGAATAACTTCAGCTCATTCCCTGAATGAACAAGTTGGATGTGGAATTAGAACTCTGGAATTCAAAAATCATTAGTCGGGTTAAAAAAATGCGCAACAACAATGAACAGCCCCCCAAACACCATCTGACAATAACTTATCTCTTTCCTCAATAAGAGGAAAAATTCAGGACACATGGAAAGGGCCCACATACGCGCTTAAAGAATTAACCAGACTGAAACCCCATTTCATAAGAGGTTATGAAAAATAATGTAAAGTCTGGCAGTTCTAGGCACCAAGAAGGCACAAATCAGGTGTCTCCCTTAGTAAACAATATTATTACAAGGTATTTCTTAAGCACATGAAAAGTCAAAATAAACAAAAAAGAGAAAATTAACCTGAATGTATTCTATCCAATACACGAGGCACGGCACAGAAAATAGTTGGTTTAAGCTCCCCAATGTCTTCAATTAATAATTTGATATCCTGCAATATGAAAACTCATAAGCTACCTTCTTGATGTTCTTGCTTAGAGAGACTAAATAGCTTTACCACCAATTGCACCATGGTGGCAGACGCTACTAGCATAAATAACTATGAATGGGGATCATGCTTACCCCTCGCCAGAATCCTATAGAAGCACCATGTGAAATAAATAACTCCTCAATCACCCTATCAAATATATGGGCAAGAGGAAGGTATGAAAGATATACATCCTTTATAGTCAACTGCAAAGTTTCCAGAAAGAGCAAAGGTCAAAAGAGAAGATCCGGGTAAATATAGTGGGGGAAAAAGATCAAACAAACTGAATGGCTAACTTATGCACTTTATCTGAATAGCAACTTAAGCTGTATATGGCAGCCTCACCATTATTATTCACATATATTATGATAACTCAGAGTGAAAAGATAAGCAAAAAACCTGTTCATTCACACTCTCGAGTAGCTTTTTCACACCGGCTATAAGAGTAACGATACTCTCATTTGAAATCAACACTCCTTTTGGATCACCAGTCGTCCCACTGGTGTACATTATTGTACAGATATCACTTTTCTTTTTCTCTGGGAGATCATATTGTTTATTCTCCCCCTATAAGCAACAGAGACAAGGCTATTACTTACTGTTTGTCCCATTTAAGCATAAAACAAATCAATAAACATAACAAAATATGAAAAGAAAAGGATGAAGAAAAGAAAAAGGAAGAATAGAATCTTCCATGCTTCAAGAATAGGTTAAAGAACAGCTGAGAAATTATTAGGATCAAACCAATGCCAAACCAAAGCAATGTTTGAACAGGTAATCTGCATACGCTGGGTTATCAGAAATCAAGGGCATAAAAGCCAGCATGAATCCTAACCCCAAAATTGTCAATTTGTGAGATAAGGCACCATGTATGGATACTACAACTGGCTACTTCAAACAATAAATAGGAAATTTTGAGGCATCCTTCAATATATAATGATTATCACAGGATAATTCTGTTGCATGCATGAAAAAGCATTAACCTAGCAGTTTAGCTCAAATTTCTTGCTATTACCAGAGCAAGAACCAAACAGGGGAGTGATTAGAAAAGGTGGCCTACCTGTTTTAAAAATTCATCCCAAGAATATACCACTAAGCCAAATTTCTCAATCTCTTCTCTTTCTTCAGGTGCAACCTTGCCGAAGCTCACAATTGCTACAGAATGAAATATACATATAACATCATATCTAGGTGACATGTATGCAAGGAAAGAAATCCTATAAGAAGACAAACTTACTTTTCAAGTATTCAGTTGACTTTGGAAATGTTTTCAACAACTGATTAAAAAGGAAAAACCTACAGATCAGTAAAGACATGATGCATATAAAAACAAAATGCCCAACAACAATTAATTATGCATATTTAGAAAATAAAAATTATTAGAAGAAACTTATCCATTATTGTGAATCACGACTCCCACTGATCCATATACCTCACGGATTTTTTTCTCTTCTACAAAAGCAATTGAGACTTCTGCATGGCAAATTATATATTCCACAGCACCAGCACCTAAAACATAGATTAAAGGAGAAAAACTAAATTTTGCTTGACAGCTGGGAGAGAATTGAGGTCAAGATATATGCTTAAATAGAATATGGAATAATCTAAACATATAGTAATCATATTCCAAAACAAAGCAACACCAGCATTCTTTAAGACATGCATAAATGTTGGTTAGCTATAATCACTTTATATGCTTGTATATCCATACTTAAAAATGTCCATACCTAATGTGTCATACAAGGGAACGCAATAAAGCCCATGAGCGTTGCAGGCCTGCATAATTTACAGCATTTTGAAAAATAAAATTAAAAGGGTACCAATTTAGAAACAAAAAAAATACACTGGCAAACAGCTGACAAAGACCATAAGATGATTCAGAAGTTTCTGACAAATCACATACAGAACTAAACCCACAAAAAAAAAAACATACCGAGAAGAAATAAGATGTATAAAACACATTTAGAAAAATCATTTTTCATGAACATGTACAAGAGCTGGAAATTCAAACAAATGCCTAATCAGATGTTCGGAACAAAATTAAAGGTACAGGATCCTTGAAAAACCAAGATACAACCAGCAAACTATTTGATGTAAATAGTAGGTACATAATGTAGTCATAATCATAAATTCACGATGTCAGAATAAAGAATCCACCTCTACCTCCAAGCTCAGTCATTATGAATTGCTGGGTTACTGTAAAACAAGTACTTCATTTCAGGAAAATCAAATAGAAAAGCAAGGTACCTCCATGCTAATTATCCACTCTGCGCAATTGGCACCATAAATACCACATTTCCCTCCCTGAAAATCAGCAATATAAAATTTCAGAGCTAAATTTTGGTTGCAAAGTTGAAATTTTTCTTTTAAAAATTAGATAGTGCTTTTACCGGTTCAACACCGCAACTCCTAATTGAATTACCAACTTTAATCACCAAGTCGTATACTTCTTTATAAGTTTGCCACACGTACTCACTGGCCTGCCAACACAGAGCAACAGACAAATAGTAGTTAGATTTCAACAGGACTTTAAAATAAAATATTCAAAATTAGAAAGAAAAATCTCTGAGTAAAGGACAAGATACCTTTCCGTTCTGAATTACTCTGCGACCGAGCATGCGATTGTTAGGATATTTCTCCACGCTTATGCTGCAGCGAGAACATTAAACATTAACCACAATCCAGATAATTAAGAACAAAAAGCATCATCATCATCAAATTTCTATCAGCTGTCACCGACTCATAGCAAGAGGATCAATTTATAAGCATTAGAAGTAAATATTAAGAAAAAGTTAATAACTTTGACATAAAAACAAAAAAGAATTAGAGGAAAGAGAAAAAAACTGCAAACGGATAAATCCAAATCTCTTTGAACATCAAGCAGAATCAGAAACTAAAATTCCTAAAAAGCGCCGAGTCAAACAGAATAGCAAATGAAAATATCAAACTTTAACCAAAACATACTAATAATAAAACAAAAGGACCTGACTTGAGAAAAAGGTTAACATCCAGTGAGTAGACAGATTAACTAGTATTTGTAAATTAAGCACAGCCGAGTTACTGAAATTTTCTCAGTAACCAAACGAGAAGCTATATAACTGACCGGAAAACATCCCAACAACTCTCCATTCCAGGAATCGGAGGAGGAAATCCATCCTTAGCAAACACACTACGATAGACAGGACCAACAGATGGTCTTCCATCTCTGGCCTCCTTTGCTTGCTCCACCTCTATCAGATACTTCCTCTGCGCCATTCTCCGTCTCTCTTCCGATCAAGCACTCCTCTATGTATTAAAAGATATAACTGAGAGAAAAAAAAATAGACAAATAAAATGTGTTTGAGTGGATCGTCGATCGTGATGGAGAAAGGTAGAGATGGATGAAATATAAAGTAGGTGGCTATAGGTGGCCGGAGAAGAGAAATACTTAAATCAAAGGAAGCTTCTTTTAAATTGGTTTTGGGAGTTTTTGACTAATAAACGGAGCTGAAAAACACGGGACTCCTTCAACGCGAATTTTGGTCAACAGATTTTGGATGAGAGCTGTAACCATTTTTTTATTTTGTGTATTTTTATTAAGATTTTTATTTTTGTTAGTGTTATCACAATTTTCAAATTCAAAACAATATATAATCTAAACCCTTAATTCATAAAAATTTATAAAAACTGCCCTCCTGTCTATAAAAGTTTAAGATTTTTGCACAATTATTAAAAAATTCTTCTAAATTATATCAACATATAAATTAATAAAGATGATTTTGAAAAATAATAGTTTTTGAAACACATCATCTAATTTTTCTTTAAAATTTGAAAATCAACCAACCTTATTATGTTATTTTGGTTATAACAATTTCATTTTATAATTGGGTCTTAGGAAAAGAATTTTGTACCATTAACTATTTGTATTGATTTGAATTTTAATAATGATTTAAGCATTTATTTTATAATATAAAGAGTTAGTGGGTTCAAACTTGAATTATTTTATTGGTATTGCCTTTAGTTTCCCCATCCTGACACTCTATTTTTCATAATTATGCTTTAAGATCAGAAAACAGGGTTATCTTACCTCTAGGTCCTCCAAGTTTTGGGCTTAGTACCCTACACGTATTGATTAGGAGGCAAGAGTGCCCTTAAATTCAAGAATTTTCTTCTTCTGAGTCTGGACATTGCCCACCCACATTGAATATTTGCTTTTCCTTTTCTAATTTTTGCCCCTCCTATCAATTTCCTTTTTCTTTTTTTTTTTTTTCTATTTTTAAATGGTCTTTGCCAGTTAACTTGATGATTCCATAATTATATTTATTATTATAATTTAAAATTGTTAAGTATGATATGCATCAAATTGTATATGCTGCTATAAAATACAACATTTTAAGGTTCAAATATATTTTAATTACATAAAGTGTGGTTTATGCACTTTCCTTCATAATTATTTTTTTAGATAGAGTCACATCATATTGTTTTCATTTTCTCATTTTTTAGTTAATCTTTCTTCTAATTTTATTTGGCTAAATTCTCTGCTCGTTCAGAAAGACAAATTATGTTACATCTAGTTAACTGTATTTCTTTCAAGTTAAACATTTATAGCTTATCTTAATTTATATATAATGTTTAAATGTTTAGTATTTTAAATCTATAAAAAAAGTTTTGACTTAAACATTAAGTCAAACTTGATTAAAGCCTATGTGGCATTTCTTCATCTACAAGTATCATGAGATCACCACTTATATTTCTTTTATTTTATGTATTTGAGTGAATTCATTAATAATATTTTTGAAAACATCATAAATATTTTAAAAAAAGCATACTATTAAATTTTTTTTTTTTTTTGGTCACAAGCGTATTCCTATACTCTCCGTTTAACGATTGAATGGTAAAAAAAATTATGTTTAAACTTTCTTCAAAATGGTAATTAAGGTAAAATTTTCATTGTAAATGTTCTAAAACTTACCAACTAATCATTAAGCTTGTGTGAAATGATATCTTAATTACTAATCCAATCACTTCTCCAACTTAAGCCGTAAGCATTAAAAGTTTGGATTTTTTTTTTTTATTTTATTTTAGAATCAGGAATTGTAATTTCACTAGAAACTTTTTTTTTTATTTTTTTAGTAAAATGCACTTGCCCAAAATTCACCACCATTAAAGGAGCTTGGATTTTAGTGATGCATCTAATCACAATTGAATGGTTGCCTATTTTCCACGAAAGCTATTTTAAAACTTGGGTGATGTAAAACCAATATAATAATGACAATTTAGATATTCAAATTGCAATATATTTATAGGTTGAAAAGGGTTAGATGAGCTCAACATATACTCAAAATATATATTTTGTTTCCATCACTCTCAAACAAAAAGACAAATAAAATTTATAATTGTGAAGTAAGAATTTAAATTTTCTATATTAGAAATTCCCTATGGAATCTACTTCAATTGCATATTTATGGAATTCAAATTCTTTATTTATTTTCACTGTTAAGATGTCCCTTTCAAAAATTTATTCCCATTTTTAGAAACACATTACTGGTAGTTAAAAGTTTGTTGGTCAGCACAATTGAATGCAGCTCACATAATTTATGCCAACTCTAACCATATTGCACCAAACAATTTGGTTAAGATTTTCAAAAATTAAAAATGAAAAAAATTAGAAATATCTCTATAAGAATTAACATAAAAAATAAATAAAGTGTGACATCCAAGGTTTTGGCGGGTTTAGGTATTAGTTAGTAGATATTTGGATTAGGTTAGGACTTGTACGTGTCGTCTTTCTTTTCGACCGGATGTGTGAGTGAGTCGCAATATTGACGACTGATCGTATTGCTTGGTAACATGGATAATAAATTAACTACGTGTCTTGTTGCGTGAATGGGCTTGTCGTTTACAATAACAAGAAGTCCAGGACCGATAGTTCAATTTGTAATTTGGAAAAAATGTTAAAAATGCCTGTGATTGTAAATGATGTAGCGTAAACTTAAATAAGATTCCAGAAATCTAAAAACGACATATCATAAGTTGTCAATAGCGTTTAAGAAGCTATTTTATTCCAGTGAAGGCTTGTCCATACATAGATAGCCTGGTATCTTAACCATTTAAGAACCAAATTATTTTTATTGAAGAACTCCTATTGCTTTCCTCATCAAGCACTGCAATGAAAGATTAAAAAAAAAAAAAAAGTCAGTATTAGCACCGCAATATGGGACTCTCATAAGGAGAAATCGAGTTTAAGTTCCATGAAAACTAGCACGATTATGAAACTTTAACCAGAGTAAAACGAAAGAAGATAGTATTACTTGGAACAGTTGAACGTGGGAGAAACTGCAGGCAGCAGAATGTTAACCCCACATTTATTGGGAAGAGAAGGCAAAAGAGAGTAATCAATCTGAGGGTAATCTGCTGCAGAATTTTCAAGGCATTGACAAATTCTCTTTCGATCGTCCTTGTTATTGGAGTAATGGGCTAGACTGTTTACACCATCACAGCATGGTTTTGAAGGTTTAGGGTCAGTTTTAATCAAGTAAGAAACACAGGGGCTAAGTAGGGAGATGATTTCATTGCAAGGTGGTAAAGGGTCTATGGAGGTCGACCCTGCAATTACCAGGAGAATAGTTACAACTCCAACCAATTGCTTCATGGTTAATTTTTCAAGCTCTTGGATTGTAAAATTTCTTGGATAACCTAATATAGGAGATGGCTTGTGGGTAGTTTATAGTTTTGCCTCAGCCTCACGTAACAATTTAAACATGCTTCAAGAAGTTCAGATTATGTTATGTGGTTGCTTGAATTTTGGCGAGATAAAGATGGGTACTTTCCATGCCTGCTTTATTGTTGTCATCACAAGCTTCTTGTGACTTAGAAATGTAAAAGAGAGTGGTTTTTTAATTTTAATTTTAATTTTTTATTTTTCTTCAATTTTAATTGACAAATTAAAGTTGCAGACTAATTTCTGCATTGGGATTTAATAAACAAAATTCTCTTCTATGTTTGAAAAGGCTCTAATACTTCTTAGGATAGATAAGATGCAATGGTAACATTTGATCAATTTTTAAATACTAAATGGAAAAATAATTAGAGAAATGAGAGGAGTAATCAATAGAAATTTATCATTATTTAAGTATGGCTTGGTTTATAAATATAAGTCGTTTTATAATAGTTTTTTTTGTGCATAAATATATATTGTTTTAAAAATATTTAGAGGTAATTATTGAATTTGTTGCAATTTTACTCTTATTTATATTACATATAATTGGTGAGATTGAAATAATGATACGAGATAATTCATATTAATGAATATTTCATTAAAATTTTAAAAAATTAATTATATTTCTTTTATCATTAAGCAGTGATTTCAAATGAGTATCAGATGAGTTATACTTGGAGATGGACAGGGTAACAAATTTGGAACAACGGACATAATAAAAAAAGTCTTGCTAGGCTCGTCATGCCCTTGATAACTCATTCATATTGTTGTCTCTTACATTTCTTTTTTTCATTACAAGTCATTCCTTTATATATATATATATATATACTAAGAGAATACCTTAGACGGACACTTATATACTACATAATGATAGATACTAACTTCAATATATTGAACATAGACACCTAGCTTTAATTAATATAAATGCTTCATCTTCTAAATACATGATTATCCATATTTAATACATATTTATCTACTTAAATGCGTATTTAATACATGATTATCCATATTCAATACATATTTATCTACTTAAATGCGTATTTAATACATGATTAATTATATACTTAGGCTCTATTTGTTTTCGTAAAATAACTTGTTGAAAAATATTTTCATGGAAAATGAAAAATATTTTCTAAATGACTTATTTTCCGTTATTTAGTTGTAATATTGAAAATTAGTTAAAAATATTTATACGTTGTTGAATAATATTTCAGGGAAAATGGAAAACTAATTTTCTAATGACCTTATTTTTCCGTACGTTAGGATTTTAGGTATTGAAAACTAATAATAATATTGAAAGTCTTTAAACTCCATAAGCGACTATAAAAATATTAATAATCATAGAAATTCATAATTATAAAACTGTGATTGTTAAACAAAAGGGAATGGCAAAATATAGTATATAATAATGATCAGGTGCAAGTGATAATGGAATGAAGACGATTCGAATAGATGACACTGATAGGATATAAATGAGTTATTGAAAGTTCAAAAATATGAATAAAAGATTTATCAATATCTCTTACTTTCCTTAAAATTTACCTCTTCAAGAATTGTACAGTTGTTTTCCTTAAAAATGACGTTAATTGCCTTTGACCAGAATTATCCCATGGACTTATTTTCTGAACCCTCCAAATAAAGGAAATATGAAAATTGATTTTTCTACATTATTTTTAACACGACACAATGCTGTAGCCTTAATATAGCAAATTTCAATATATAATGATTTACCTTAACCAAACAAAAGAAACCAGCGATCGTATAAAACGTACATAGACAAGAAAATTACCCCTCATGCCATCGCATTTCCCTTCGTAATTTGTAAATCAACAACCAAAAACGTCGAAAGCATTACATCAACGAAATCATAGATTTATACAGACGAGAAACATACGAAATCCAGCAGGCATGCTATGCTATTCTATTTTCTATCTTATGCTACAAGTGCCGTCGAAGATAATATGAAGGACTGACCGAAAAGCAGAGAATGGCAGGCAGCAGGTTACCCGATTCAAGTTAGAGAATGAACCGAGGCAGGTACCCAGAGAGGAAACACGAGCCAAATTCACCACAGAGGGCAGTCGCCATCATTTTAAGCATTCATACAGCTGATGGCATGGAAAATGGTACATTCAGGTAAAGCATCGTTCCTGTGGGTCAATACCGGCATAAACAAAGGGCAATAGTCATTATGGTTTAGGCAATCTCGACGTTCACCGAGTCTTGGTAAATCTATGAGTTGGTAAGTCAAGGACTGCCCGCCTGCCATTCTTGGGGGTTATCCAGAACGTGATGGGAAAATCGTGTCGGAATGCCCTGCGCTGCCCGCTATAGAGTCTGAATTCGCCACATAAAGTAAACACAAAAAATAAGCCAATTATGCACAAGATCCCGTATCCAGCCCTAAAATACAACAGAAACCATTACTTACAACAGGAGAACCCGATAAAGAAAATGCAATTCAATTATCTCCAAGAGAAATTCTAAACAGAAAAAAAAAAAAAAAAACAATCAAACGCCGGAAGGTTAAATCCAAAAGCCCCAAAAAGAGAAAATACAAAAGCAAAGTTTGAATAAAGAAAAAAGCAAATAAAATACAACAAATAAAAATAAAAAAAACGAACAAAAAAAGAATTGCAGAATTTCCCAACAGAAACAAATATGACAATTAAAAATGTCAAAATAAAACAGTAAGCCCCAAAATAAATGCAGTAAAAAATAAAATTTCTGTGTAAGATCGTATTATCGGATCGTCAAAAGCACAAATGCGAAGGAATGGATGAAAAAGTAATTTACATATATAAAGTATTGCATTTAATAGTTGTTGAAGTAGATATTAATCATGATTTTTCATGTAGAAAGTAAGTATGAATTTAATGTAGCAATAAGATAAAATAGGATATAGTATGATAATAAAAATAAGAAAATGAGAAATTATAAGTAAATTAATAGAATTGAGAAGATAAATAAGATGAAGAAATTTCATTAAGATTTAGCCAATTAGTATTAGATTACAATTGACTCAATCCGGCTCCTGCATAAAAGTCAGTTTGACGTGATTCAGCCATAATTAAGCTATATTCCTAATATCGGAACAGAGAAGGGGTAAAATCAAAGTAATCAAACTATAAGGTTCATACACAGATGAAAATAAAAAGTTGACGAAAAATAAGTCTTTAATCTTCACCCCAATAACAACATTCCCCCCCCAAATTCAAGTCTACTTTAAGTAATAAAAATAACATGAAAGGCAAAAGAATTACAAGGAAGATTTTTACCAATACAAATACCATCAAACCTCATTTTCTAGACATAAGCCAACAAGGAAAACAAGAGAAAAAACTAACCCTACCCCTAAAGGTCGACCACCTTTGGAAAAGAAGAGAAAAATGTTTCGCTCAAAAATTACACAATAATCATGCTTAGAAAAACACAAAAACACAGTTCATACAACAAAGGTTCAACAACAAATCATTCCAACCAAATTCCAATTCACCAAGTACACAAACTCACAAAAAAAAAAAAAGAAACCAAAAAAAAACAAAACTATAGCATGTATAAAACACAAACAAAAGATCCATACATATAAGTTGTGGTGGAACAGACACACTTAATGCAACGCAAATTTCCATATACAAGATATAAGAATCAACATAAAGTAGACATTGACCCGCTATTAGACATACTTGAAGTTAGGTCTGCAAATGAATAAATGTATAATAAAAGCAATACAAAAGCTACAAAATAAAAGAAACCATAGCAGATCAAAATGTAAATGGTAAACAAAGCTAGGAACACAGACCAACAGTCCAGACCATTCAGCAAGCCAATCCAAGTATAATAATATTCCTACTTATCCAAACATCAACATAAAAACCATCCAAAATCATCAGAGAACTAAACATACAGAACAATCCATGAAGAACTCAGCAACTTTAATCTTGCCATAAGTTCAAATAGACATAAATCAAAAATATAAAGTTGGTTGTGAGCTTAGTTTTATGGGTTGTGAGGAACGGAAATTGGATTAAAGCAAGTGTTTGGTATTCACATGGTAGCCAGTTATAGAGAAAAACTCTTTGCAGCTAACTTAGGATTTTTTTTTTTTCCAAATGGTTCATAAGTTATTATAACCTTTTAAATTAACAAAAAAAAATTACTTGCTACCAACTTGAATAATTAATCACTATTCATAATTTTGATTTTATGATTATGATGTTAAATTAGACCCACCATGTCCCGGTAGCCTTGAATGTGTCATTGCACGTCTCTGAGGACTAGGCGTGTGTTACATTAACACATCTCGCAATCCTAATCATGTGATATCTATAAACATATTAAATCCAAATCTTACGTCAAGTAGCATGCAATCCTCTAATTATTTTTTAACCATGTCTTCCTAGTCGATGGTAAGTCAATACGGTCACAGACTTAGGCCATAATGAATAGCACTCTCACTAGAATTTTGTAGATTCTTTCCATCTACAAAGATGAGAACGCCTCTAATACCACCTTCCTTCATCAAACTACACACAGAATATCTTTTTTTTTCTGTTTTGACACCAAGTTCAATATCTAGTAAGCGAGTTAATAAAAAACAAATTTTCTACTTATTCCTACTTGGCATAAAGAACCCACGTCACTGGGGGCCACAATAACACATAGTCTAACGTGTGCGCCAGCCACGATTGTTAACGAAAAAACCAAGCATTAACGGGACCCATCATTCCATCAACACCTCCTGACCGTATTGACTTTAATAGTATCATATCATGATTGATACTATGTGACTGGATTTGGACCTCGTCTCCCTTCATCCAACATTTCATTTTTACTTGGGGCGTGATTAACAGGAAGTGAATTTACCTTCTGAGAATAGATGTAATCGCCATCCCAAGAAGAATTTATACTAAAACTCTTTAAGAAAAGACCTGATATTGTCAATCTGACCAAGCATGAATTACTTCTCTCTGATCAAATATAATACTACTTCTCTTCTTAACATGAGACTCAATATACAAAT